TATATATATAAACATGCGCGCACACCGTTGTAACTCACCCAGAATTGGGTACATAAGCAGTATTTTTCGTTGAGAAATATTAGGTGGTAGTTTCGCATAATAAACTTTCACATCATTTGAACCGTCCTCATTGTTAGCTTGAATGAGAATCTTCCCTATTCGAATGGAACGACAGCAATCCCGAAGTCCTCTTTCCATGGCCTCTCCGGAACGAACTACAGATACGCCACAGTTACCTCGCAAAAACTTCACTCCGTGAAACAAGTGACCTGAGAGGAATGTAGAATTGGCAAACGACTAAAAACCAAATACCGTGATTAAAAAAGTGGACGGGGACATCCTGGAAAAATGAAGCCGCCATGAGTACTGGGTCCTTTACGCGAAAATTCTGTGTAAATGCAATAGAATTCGCAAGACTAGTCAATGCCGTTTGTCATGACCAGTTGGCAAAATGAAACGCAAAAGTGCTGAAGACTTCACTAATTGGTGAAACAATAAAGCGAATACAACGTAGATGGATGGGTCAATGTTTAAGGGGCGAACTTACCGGAAGGTCCGCAGTTTGAAACCAGCCCGGGTTAGGATAATCTGGTCGTACCTCCAGTGAAGTGACAGCTGTGCTGAAGGTGTATTACAGCTAACCTACAACGGCTGAGCAGAATTGTACTTCCACTTGCATTATAAAGTCTATCACCAAGCTATGTATACGACCTATCCTCTCCACGAAGAGCATTCCTGAATTCTGGAAGTGTCACTTTGTCTTCCTCCGGCGAGCTGCCGGCGTTGTCATTACTGTCTCCTTCCACTCTAGGCCCTTTGTAGCAAGTGGAACATTCATCAATAAAGCCCGTTTCATTTGGATTGGACCCCAGTAACCCAGCAACATTGTCTGGGCTTGAGCACATTCCTGTCTGCACTTGGGCTACCTGATAGTATCCCGGTCCTCGTGCTTTCTTCGGGTGGCATGGCAGCTAAGCACCATGAGGGTGTTACAGCTGAACGATTATTATTAAATCAGAAAGTCAGTCTGACAATCTCGGGTCATGCAGGCTGGCGGCTGAAACAAGTGTAGAGATTTGTTCCTCCCAACTCGGTTGATATTACACCAACTGCCGCTGCTTTGGGTTCGGGTTTTTTAGCCAAAAACCTTGGCCAATAATAAGAAAAATAATCGTTCAGCTGTAACCCTTTCGGTGCCTAGTTGCAAGCCATCTGAAAGAGGGCTGGAATACCGCCAGGTTTCCCAATACTCGGTCGAGATGCAGAGGTCGGGTTTGAACCACGGATCTTCCAGTCACTAAATTCGCGCTCCAACCACTGAGCCATCTCGCCCCTTGGCTGATAACCCCTGATTGTGGCTTTGTCTTTCTCTCAGAACCCTGCGGTATCTGAGACCTAACAAGACTGTGAAACAGGAAAATCACTCTTACGGAATAATAGTAATGCTAATAATAATCACTTATCTGTAACACCCTTTCTGTGCTGCCATGCCATCCGAATGAAGAAGGGGGCTAAGATTCTGCCAGTTTACCTGAGCCTGGCAAGCACACTCGAGATGCAGAGGTTGGATTCGAGAGGCGAACCTTCCGATCAATGAGCTCACGCCTTAACCAGTGAGCTATTTCGACTAAGCTACCTCAGCTCTCATGGTACATCGGCCGTACCTCAGGGCAAGTACGGAGGAAAAACGCAATATCTCGCATCTTCCCATCACCTGTTGACTCCAACTCGGTACTGCTTCATAATCGCAATTATGCATATTCCAGCTGTTGCCGCGCCAGCCAAAAAGCCAAGGGAGCGGCTAATCACGCACCATCATTCATATCTACCACTCCGTGTTAACCATTCAGAAATTCTCGTTTATATTGGAAAACTTAGATTGCGACCGATCAAAAAGTCCGGCCAATAAGTTGACGTTGTACACACTCTGATTTCATTATCAACTGACAACTGCTGTCACTGAAAACCCAGTACAAAACCCAAGTACGATAGATGGGCCTATGGTACCGTCATAACTATAGACGCTACCGTACACGAACTTCGGGTGGTATAGCCATTGTGCTACCTGGCATTCCCATGCAACTCATCGAGTCATAGTGGCCACACAAACATCAGACCGATGGTGCGTTTCAGTCTCTGAGTGTTGATTATTATTAAACATAAACGTTTATTCAGTTCAGGTCATCAGAACCGCAATGTTCAAATGGCATCTGACAAGAACCTTGTCGGTCTGGAATATGCGGACGATATTGTTCCCATCTTCGAAGAGAAGCCGCAGGTGTTTTTGAATGAACTGACCAAAGCATTTTGCACCCACAAAGTGTAAGGTCATTGTCGTGGACATGCAGCCACTTAACAAGCCTCTTACAATCCAGGGAGGGTCACTCGTACGTATGTTGTATTAGTTTATTGTAGTGTGACAGGTGAGGTCAGTGCAGAAATCCGTAAGGCTCGGATCGAGCTTGCTAATTGGAAACACCTATAGTGTCAGCGGTATATCTCTGAATTCCAAGTAACCTGTATATCAGGCGACAGTGCGGACTGTTTTGTTGTGGCTGAGACTTGACCAGTTCGAGCAGCGGAACTGAGACGTTTTCAAGGTTTCGACAATTGTTTTCGTAGAACCATAGCTCGTGTGCGTTGGTGTTGCCGAATCCGTAAAGAAGCCATTAGGAAGCAAGTATTCGGTTGTTCAGCAGGAACCTCCATTGAAGAGTGTATCCAACAGAAGCTGCGTTGGTTAGGCGATGTACTGGGTACGCCAAACCGTCAGCTGAAGAGAATGCCGTTTTCCATGCTCGATTCAGAGTGGCGGAAGCACAGAGGTGGCCAACCCTTGACCTGGCAAAGAAGTACAAAAGATATTACGAAACGCTTGGGTGCTTTCGGTGCTACTCGCCTTCCAGGATGGGGATCGCATGATCCCCATTGCGCCTGGTTGAATACCCTGCAATATATGGCTGCTAATTAACATCAACGGCACTCTTGTCATCAGTTTCTATCCAGACTACCTCAATGAGTATCTGGAGATGTACGCTCTCCGGAATGATTGTAGTAAGCTAGCAATGAGTTCCTTCCCTACCCATCTTTATTCTTTTCTTCACAAGAAATCTTTCAAATAACTCATGGTTTTATGGCAGCAAAGCATCAATGTTCAACACTGATGTCATGCTGTTCATGATGATGTGTGTAGTATCGATTAAATCCCCCAGTACAGTTGAGATACCAGCCACCCATTTTACTCAATATGGTAGAAAGGTTTTGCGACGAGACGTAAAAAACGGGGCCAATCTAAACAAAATCCGACGTGAACGACAGTGATATCGGTTAGCAGCCATTTCTCGCAGTGCCCCTTGCCAAGCACAAAGAAGGTCGCGGGTATCCCATTATGAGAAGTATCCTCTTACTAAGTATAAACTCGATCGCCGTTCTGCTTGTTCCACTGATTTGGACACGCCTATCGGAGGAAAACGACAGCTTGCTGAGGAAATGGTCAACATACCTGAACTGAAGGTTTTGTTGCGCGAACGAAAGCCAGTTTTCCAACCTCTTTCTAGTTTCATTGGCACCAATCTACATGGTTGTGAAACAACGACCAATGAAAACCTGAAGAAGTCCCCTTGTGGTGCTGAGTGAAATTTGGCCACTCGCACTGCGTAAGCTGGGTAGAAGACACACGCAGCCCAAGAAACTGCGCTGGAAGGTGTAGCACATAAGTCGTTTTGACTTTCGGACGTGAATATCTACTCAAGTAACAGCTAACTTTTTTCGAGCAACTGGTTTATTGCTGATTAGCCAGATTTTAATGAGTAGCTGCTATTCACGCGGAGGGCCTGATAGCCGTCTATTCACTACTCCTAAATTAAACTGCAGGTCACAGGAAAGATTAGGTTGAATTACGAAAGCCTTCGCGACTTGGAGCCTGTCAGTTACGGATCGTTGTCACCACCGCCATCACCATGGACAGCACAACGTGTGTTCAACATTAAATCCTCACCATGTACCTCAAACCCCTGCGGTCACCTTATGAGACCAAAAGATGATGTCTGTGCCCCTTATGCCTCTTTCTTCCGTCCCTTCGATTACTACCTGCAACTATCTACACAAATATTCCACCGACACTATAGTACCATCTGATCACAAAAGCCCTACCCGAAGAATCTCCGGTGTGCACTAATGAGTCATTGTTCACCATTGAAACCAAATCCACAAATTCACGGATAGACATAAACGTAGGGTTGAGTTGCGCGAGCCTCCGAAAACAGATCTTGCCGAGCCAGCAATTTACTTTCCTGGACTGGCATTTCATGCTTGGAGCACATCATGCAAAAGACGGGAGCAATTAAGCTTGTATCGCTACGTTGGATTGTTTAGAAGTCTCCAACGGGTAATTCCCAATCTACATCCCAAAAAACTATCTTGGTTCTTTTGAAACCTAGATTCTTCATAGCACGCAGTTCACTTCAATGCCGTATTGAAGCGTATCCGGGAGGCTGGCCCGCGGATAAATGAAGCCAAGACACAACTTGCTCGGAGTTCGGTGACACTGTTTATGCATAAAGCGGGTCACGGAAAAGTTAGCCCACAGCTAGAAAGATTGGCAGAGATCGAGGATTGTGCTGTTCCCAGTTCAAAGCGGTCTCTACGGCAGTTTCTTGGACGAGCAGTACATTACAGTCGGCTTGTCAAGGATTTCAACACTATTGCTACCCTAGTGTACGACATGCTCAGGCGAAATCGGAAAATCGAGTGGACCAGGGAAGCACATGAAGCTTTTGAGCGTGTCAAAGCGCGGATGCTGGACCAGCAACTAACCCTCAAACTGCCCAGGGTTGGAGAGATGTTCACAGTTACAACGGACGCTAGTGGTAGTGATATCGGCGCAGTCCTAAAGCAGAGGAATGGAGTCATCGAATATGCCAGTTGTGTCCTAATTCTGAACAAAAGAAATCGACCATTGAGAAAGAATGTTTAGCGATCGTCTGGACCCTGGATAAGTGGAAGTCATATCTGCTTGGACAAAAATTTCATGTCGAAACCGATCACAAACCCCTGGAGTGGATCAAGACCACCAGAGATCCTCGCAGAAAGCTCGCGCGCTGAGCACTCCGGTTGCAGGAGTACGACTTCACAATCCAGCACATGCCAGGGAAGGAGATCCACTTGGCTGGTTGGCTGTCAGGACCAGAGGCTGAAGATGAGGCCCCCAGGGTCATGATTGGAGCCAATAACTTCGTCGTCTAACTGGATCCCGGAAGGTTGGTGCAACGCACGGCAGAATCCTGTGTTACAGAGGGTTGCCTTGGTAGGAAGGAGCATTGAGAATGAAGAGGGAGACAAGGAAGTGGAAATGTTCCAGAGTCACATTGATCGGCTTGGACTGAATGAAGCTGGCATAATTTCCTGGAACGCCACCGATTCTGATGTCGCATTGCCCGTGATACCTCGCGTCTTGAGACGGAAGCTTATCATCGAACGCCATGAGATGGCACATATAGGATGCACCAAAACGTACGCTTACTTCGGCAGAGGGCCTACTGGCCCCGAATGAGAAGTGAGGTGACCTGTGTGGGGTCCTGTAAGCGGTGCCAACTGATGAAAGGGGGTACGACAGGGTCAACCCATCCCATGGAACCCATTTCTGTCACAGGATTGGCGAGTTGTGGTCCGTTGACGTCATGGGCCGGTTTCCGGGGACGACCAGCGGAAATCAATATATCGTGATAATGACAGAACACCTGTCACGATGGGTCGGGGTGACAGGCGTGCCAAATCAACGGGCGACGACAATCAGCGGAGTGGTAAGGCAACACATCGTGGCCAACCATGGGGTGCCGAAAATGATTCTAACCGATCAGAGGCCCTGCTTTCAGGGCGAAGAGTTTAGGAGTTGCTTGAAGATGCTGGGCACCCCACCACCCACAAACAAACGGTCTAACCGAACGACCGGGTGGCTGGCGGCCAAAGGTGACTGGGAAGTGAATCTGCCGATGAAGTTGTTAGCACATTGTGCTTCAATATGGCCAACTACATGCAATTCCCCGTGCATGCTGATATACGGTTGACATCCGTGCCTTCCAGTTGATCAGGGAATTGGGTTATGGCAGGCAAAACGCTTGTCTCCTGAGCTAGGAGGGAGGAGGAAAACTCGAGAGAAATTGTTCGCCACCCAGGAGAGGACTAGATAGAAAACGGCAAGTAGAAAGGCCAGACCATTCCCATAGGCCAGATGTCTCAAGTGGTTAGAGCGCGAATTTACCGTCCAGAAGGTTCGTGGTTCGAACCCGACCCGTGCCTCTCGACTTCTGCTGTCTAGGCTTGACAACTTGGCAGTATCCCAACCCTGGTGCTTCCTTCGGGTAGAATGGCAGCTAGGCACCGAAAGGGTGTTACAGCTGAACGATTCCCCATAGGCGCGAAGGTCAAGTGAAAGGATGATCAGAATCCTGGAAATGATGGACCGGGGTTGCGGAAGCTTGACAGTCGATACCAAGGCCCATTTGTTGTTACCGACAGCCGGGGGAACGTCTACATAATTCAAGACGGTCGGGGATTGGAAAGAGTAGATGGGACTCGACTCCGGAAGTGGCATGGTTGTGGCATGATACACCCGAAGAACTGCTGAATAGACCAGCTGCCAGGGCCGACCTAACGGAGGTAAATGGAAAGCGGTGGCACGCAAACGACCTTTTAAAAGTAAAAGGTGTGTAACGGCGGACCCTGCATGTGAGTGGTATCTAGTCTTATCAAAGCTCCGCCTCGCCTCTAATGGAGGGAGAGGCTTATTACGGAACTTGGGGAACTGATTTGCAGCGTTCGTCTACAATTGCGTGATACTCAATGAATATCCGTGAGGGTTCACGAAGGTGCATGAGAACGTTCAATTTTTCACAACTATGTGCAGTAGTTTGTAACCCTTTAGTTGGTTTGCTAATAAACGACTTCGCGGAGAAGGCTTCCATCTTTACACTGGTAGTGGAAGCGTGGATGAAGCATGGCAGAACATGAAACGAGCTATTGTAGCGACGTTCAGCGCCGTCTATTCGACCACAAGACTACTGGATATCGTCGACATCGCTATCCATGACTGATACCAGGAAACCCATACCAGAGGATTGGCACGACGGTACGCGCAAATCCCCCAAACGCCAATTAGTGAAGGGCCTAAGGAAAAACCGAGAGCTCTAATGGATAACGGGAGCTCCGGATAAGGCTTTTGCTACCGCAAACAGCAGTGCCCTACACCAACTGATACGATCGACTGGTCGTAGGAAAACGACGGTCTGTAAGGCGATAAAGGTGGCTCGTTAATTCATTTGCAAAAACGTCTACTGGAAACATGGGCCGAACATTTCGAAGAACGGTTTAGCTGGCCTCCTGCAACATAGTCTGTGGATATAATGCACATAGGCAAATGGAATGCAAACATTGTTAGCGCGTCAGGAGAAATAAGGTACGAAATATCCGTACTGAGACGTTAAGAAGCACAAAGACCGGACAGTTTGTATCCGGCCCTCTCCAAAGAAGGCGGAGAATCCCTGGTGACAAAGAACCCCCTGACAAAGCTTATTGGTGCGATATGGGACGAACAGTAAGTGCCTGCAGGATGTCGCATGTCGACAGTCACTTCCATCTTAATAAAGGATATGCGGATGCTCTGTGGCATCAGCCTGGTAGCAGTGACGCCGAAGGTGCTTTTCGGTCTTATCGTTTGAAGGTGAACTGAATAAAGAGGAGGACGAATACGTGAAAATTGAGCTGTTCTCCGTCGTCCAGGAGAACGCATTATTACCTTCATTCTCGAACTGCGACACTGCTTCGTGCAACCAACAAGGGTTGTGTTCCTTGGCCTGAAATCTGCCTTTGTCTCTATGGACCGTCAGGCAATGTGTGGAGCAAGTGTCTCCTTAATTCTCGAGCCTCCTTATGACGCTGCACACCGACTCCCGCGGACGTGTCCACGGGAAGCGCCCGCCTGAGTTCACCACGTCGTGGTCAGCCAGGGCCATCCTCTTTCACCTTTTATCAACATCGTCATTGGTACGATTATGGAAGACTCAGTATAAGCCCCTAATGCCTGTGGGGTCGGAGTGTTCCCGGGGAGCCCGCTTACAGATACCGAGTACGCAGACGATATAGCTATCCTTGGATCTAACGCCGCTGCAATGCAAACACCATCGTGCAGCTGTAACACCCTTCCAATGCCTAGCTGCAATGCCACCCGAAGAAAGCACGAGGGCTGGAATACTGCCTGTTTGCCCAAGCCTAGACAGAAGAAACCGAGAGGCAGAGGTCGGGTTCGAGCCACGGACCTTCCGGTCAGTAAATTCGCGCTCTAACCACTCGAGCCATCTTGCCCTTGCAAACAACATTAAATAATCTCAATGATTCTGCCTCACGGTTTGGCATGCACTCACGCCTGCCAAGTATAAAGTGCTACTGCAAGTATGGTTGGACTCAAACCCGAACCCCACGCTGGCGAACGAGCCTATCGAGTCAGTAGACAAGTTTGTCCACAGCTGTATCAGTTCCGGTGGCCTCGCGAAAGATATTTCCGTCCTTATTAGGAGGGCCACAGCTGCTTCTGTGAACCTGCAACATCTGTGGCGTAGGCATGACATCAGGTTATCCGTCAGGGTCGAATTTACAGTGCCGCGGGGTACTCCATATTACTATGCGGATCAGAAACCTGGCCAATGCGCGCCGAAGACTTGGTGTTTCATCATTGATTTTTTCATAGAATTGCGAGTCTAGTTGGTATACCTGATCAGCAATGCTGAAGTACGTCGAATGATTTTCAGGAAAAATAACTCGCCCATGACAGATGAACTGATTGCACTCCACATCATCATTCATCATCATTGTCAGTTGTAAGAACCGCGTACTCGTCGTGCAGTGGTTGTAGCTGCCGCAGTTTCGTTCACCGATGATTTGGGGGGGGGGGTAGGTAGCTGCGCATTGCACGCGCGAGCTGGTAAATTGGTGCATAAATCCAGCACTGTCAGTGGGCCGTCAAGTGGGGGGTTGGAGAAGGAGCTATGCATTGAAGGCAATAGCTTTGATGCACGAGCGCCATTGAAGGCGCGACTGGGCCATATCTGACAATGTCTCTAGCCATTGATGTGGCCCGTCTCGGGGTCCCCATCCAGGAAGACGGCAATGACCAGCGCAGCTGAGTTTGCTGGTAATGACTTTCATACTTCGCTGCCAAGTCATTGTTTGACCGCCTCTGGCCCTCTTCCACCCTTCACATGGTTGGGCGACTCCATAGGTTGCGCTGGTCCGGCAACGTGCTCCGTATACCAGTCGACTGGTTTTCTCGAATTCTTTTCACACAACTACGCCAAGCGTGGAAACGAGCCAGGGGAGGCCAACCAATGACTTGGTGGCAAACTCAGCTGCTCTGGTCATTGTCGCCTCCCTAGATGGGGACCCCGAGACGGGACACATCAGACATGGCCCAGTCGCGCCTTCAGTAGCACTCGCGCATTTAAGCTGTTGTCCTCAATGAATTGCTCCCCTCCGTATCTTCCGAGTTATCAGCCAACCTCTATTTACGCATCGATCACGTCAGCTGCCAGCCTCCAATGCGCAGTTACCTACCCTAGTTGCCGAAGAACGAAACTGTGGCAGCTGTAACTATTGTAGGACAAATAGGCGGTTCTTACAATTCATGGTCATGAGCTGCAATGTTGTGCATTCTTATTGTGCACTCTTAGAAAGCCGCATTGCTTTTGGGTACTTTGTGGGGATGCTCTCAACCAACCCGTCGAGTTCAGCACATACTTCCATGTACTGATCTTACCTCCGGAAGGCCCACTGTCAGCCAGTGCCTCCAATGCGTAGCTGACCAGCCCTGTCTGTTGAGATCACCGGCGACCGGTACATGTCACTGAAGTGACAGTCATGGCCAATGTAAATGCAAGCAGTCAGCGATCGAAGATGATGTAGACATACGCCTGGCGACGAACATTAGGAAATGCCCAGCTAATGACCTCATCAAACATCTGGATTTCTCGATTAGCGAAAATGAAACCCCATTAATCGAGATGTATTTTGCACCTGCTACCGATAAAATAGTGAACTTGGAGAAGACACAATAGCGACATGATTACCAGTAGGGGTAGTAACTGTTACTTCTTCGTACGGGAGCTGATTCAGGCCCTCTTCAACAATCAACCGAATCTGAAACTAAGGGTGCCAATCGTAAAATTAACCTACCAGGCGATCCGCGTAGAATATGAATTCATTCCTTGGGGTGTCTCTTTAATGAAGGTAGATTAAGTGTAGCAGGAATACCTATTCCTCAAGACTGTCTGTAGCAATCGTACGTGATCGGATGGAGGTAGGAGAATTATGTTCTTTGAAAACTGACTGAGAATGTCTTGTACTTCCGGAGTATACTTTTTAGGTGCGCAATCTTTTGCAGACGGCGAAATGACACCATTCACAACCTGATAAAGCGATGTACACAAGACGCAGAGGACCAACCTGCGACCCGCACACGCTCGCCATGGGCCTCACGAGAAATTAAAACGAACTAAGCATTTGGTAAGTTCAATAAAATAAGTCGCCTAAACAATGTTCCTGACAAACTGGCTTGCGATCGTTCCAGAGAAGCGGTACCTTCCTTTACGATCTATTTCAGGAGGAAGTGCCGGAATAAGCTGAGTCTTAGATGCTTATTCAAATGACCTCTGACACCACAGCTCCAAAGAGGGAAATTCGACAAAGTTTCCGCATTTCATGGTATTTATTCGAACCATTAAGGTCTACCCGCGCAACTACAGTTTTCTGGAAACTTGTTTAAACGTACGCAAGGGCAGTTGTGAGCGCGAAATTCGTCTCTAATGGCCGCTAGTGCCACGTCCTAGGCGCACACTCAAAATTTCTCTGAAGCCGTCGTTCGAAAGAGAAGAACTTTGACATAAAGTTTTACCATTTGATGGTAATTATTCGAGAGTATGAAATCGTTCCAAACGACCGCAGTTTGTTGAAAGTTGTTTAAACCTACTCACATTTATATTTTTACTGGCTGCTATGCCTGAGCACGTTCTGCCCGTGAATGCGGAGGATGATTTTGTGGAGAAGTTATCTTGTCCACGTTTTTTTCTCTTTCATTGCATTTCAAGTCGCTTTGAAAGAGTACCAGGCCAAGAATTTCGTAGTTTTCGTCCGTATAAACTCCAAATAGAGCAGCAATTCGATACTTTGTACGGGAAAGCCTTCTATCGTTGCAGCAGACGTCCCTGCAGACGAATTCAAAGCCGTGGAGTTCGTCGCACCTAGTAAGCTTATGGCCATTGTTATGTACGCGGTAGCACACGTCGTACCGATTGTCCGGTAATATTCCATGTTCGCCGTTACCATGACTGCTTGAGGGTTACTTCCTACTACCTGGAGCACCACCATCCACGCAGCAAGTTCATTTTGACAGGCTTCCCAACCGGCGCCTGACAAATGATGAATTAAAGTAGTGTGTTACTCTTTTGAAATATGGTCTCCGTCATCGGAGATTCGGCAGTTCGTCGCCGACCATTTTGGAAGGGTACTCACTATCAAGGATGTGAATAACCATCGCGTCAGATGTCCACCCCCGTTGTTAAGTAGGTCGGCGGTTACCTTGCATTTGGTTTCTTAGATGTCATGTTATCCATCATAGCCAAGTTTCGAGAGTGGGGTCGCTTGCTGCTGGTGGAATCGGCAGCTGGCACTTTTAGTCACCTGTGCCTTTCCCGAACGCAGCAGACGTTGTAAACGTTGATGCTACACACGGGACCAACCGTCTTGAGTAAAAAAGTTTAGAGCCCCCGACGTTCACTGTTAAGGTAGAAGTCTTGTGCATTCCTTGTGACGGATGGCATGGTTTTCGGTCGACCCGAAATGTATGCCTTCGTCGAAAGCGGGCATTTCGCGCCATTGTGCAAGCTGCTCAGCTTGTTCAAGGATATGATGAGTGGACACTATACAGTCAAAACGTTCGTCATGGACAAGATAACTTAGCAGATGCGGGTTGCCTAAGCTGCATTCTGCTGTGATATAATGCTGTGCTATTTTCACGCACGGCAAGCCATCCGAAAGCATGTACCTTTCATTGCGTTGCTGTACCTTTTGCAGACAAATTTCAACCGCAGCCGGCACGTATTCAACCGCGTGGCTCGCTCTGATAATGCAGCTGAGTAAGTGATTGTACACCAAACATTGATCGCGTAGATTTCGCCACGATTTGCAGATCCTGAGGAGAACAGACCCTAGGTTTGTCTCTTATTTGACTGTCCACTGGCTCCACATTACACCAAAGTGGGCCATTCATGCTTAACGTCGGTTGGTGTACTTCGGGAATGTGACCAATAACCGCCTGGAGAACGCCAATGGGCGTTTGAAGGGGCGCGTGCATCATTCCGATAGCCTGAAGCACGCCGACAAGAAGATTTCTCGGTACAGCGAATGGTTCGTGCGCGACTATGAGATGCGCACCACTTATTACAGTGACCGTCGAGAAATTCGGGAGGGAGACAGCAACGTTCTACGTGTGGTTTCCCGGATGACGACGTACGTCACCAATCAGGTTCTCAGTCACATTGGAATGTGCACGCCAAATATGATACACATTCAGATAGATCGTTTCAAGGTGAGAAACGCTGTGTTAGTAACAATCAGTTCGTGGTACAAACCCCAAGATGTTCCCAGACAGTTAACACCTCAGCCGGAACCTGCACGTGTATATTTTACCAATCTATGTGGTTACCCTGTGTACACCTATTCTCGCTATTCAAAAGCCACTCGTTCCCATGCGGTAAGTTTATTACTCGAACATACAGTGCCCAGGTCATTTCCAACACATTCCGATAGCCTGAAGCACGCCGACAAGAAGATTTCTCGGTACAGCGAATGGTTCGTGCGCGACTATGAGATGCGCACCACTTATTACAGTGACCGTCGAGAAATTCGGGAGGGAGACAGCAACGTTCTACGTGTGGTTTCCCGGATGACGACGTACGTCACCAATCAGGTTCTCAGTCACATTGGAATGTGCACGCCAAATATGATACACATTCAGATAGATCGTTTCAAGGTGAGAAACGCTGTGTTAGTAACAATCAGTTCGTGGTACAAACCCCAAGATGTTCCCAGACAGTTAACACCTCAGCCGGAACCTGCACGTGTATATTTTACCAATCTATGTGGTTACCCTGTGTACACCTATTCTCGCTATTCAAAAGCCACTCGTTCCCATGCGGTAAGTTTATTACTCGAACATACAGTGCCCAGGTCAATTTCCAACACAATAACGGTGGCTTGCAGAATACAACCTACCGGAGGGGAGTGTACCTTTATCTCTGGTTCCAAAGACACGGCTATCACCAGTAGAATGTTTGCACAAGCAGCTGGATCGGTTGGTTGGCAAACTGAAGCTGTTGAAACAACGTAAGGCTGCTGGATGCATGCAGCGTCTGATTGTTTAGACCCAGCTGTTGTTGCGTCAAAATTCAATCAGTGCACAGGACCGTCAGCCAACTGTGCCCAACCAAGGTGTCGTTCCACTTTGAAAGGTACCGTTCCATGTGGTCTCCGTGGTCAGCCAACTGACCCTGCTAATTGGTGGTGACAGCGTGATCGACTGCCATATCACCGTTATTGCCGCGGCAATGAGCCATGCCCGCTGTGTGGAGAAAATCTTCAGGTGAGTGCACACGTATCAATTAAACTATTCCCTTTAGTTGCCAATCCGTCGCGCCTTCAGTCTACCAACCCGTCGGCTAAAAGTGCTTGCTTTGATGTCGATCTTGATCGGTCCATGTAGGACAAGCCGAGCGTGTCCGGTAAGACAATCGCAATAAAATTACAAGCATACGCTTTGTATACCTTGCTTATGAATCCCGTGATGACGAGGAATTCGTATGATTGCTCATGCGGTAACCTCGAAGGCGCCGATAATGGGAATTATGAAGCACTAGGTAAGTAAGCAAATAGAATTCCATTACATCAATATGCTTGAATGCTGTTCCCAAAGATTGATTGCTTACTAATGAATAAAAATGCAATTCGCCATTGGTGTTTCCGTTAATTCATGGCGGGCGCATTATCAACGCGTGAAGTTATGAGTATGAAGCGCCGTCGTTGGCCATTGTATCAGGTTGCCGTGCATAGGTAAGGCCTCATAATCAGCGTCGCGCATAGCAGTTACGATAAATAGTCGAGGTGGGTGACAGCTCATAGTTGCGGGTAATTTAGGGATCAGTCGAGAGGGTACACTGAAGAGTAGGAAGTGAGTAGTTGGGAGTGTGCTATCAAATAGGGTATGACAGTGCCGTGCCATCGCTGCACTTACTTCGGTTTCTGGACAGAACCGCAACAGACGCTGTTTGACGTTGTTGGGCTGGGATGTGCAGTTGTGTGAGCAGCTGTACATTCGAAGTTGTATTATATCTTATTGCTGTTTGACGGGTGATGACCACTATTGACCGTTGGGTTAGTCTATTATGTGTTTCTGGGGCATTGCGGTTAGCTTCCAGCATGTGTACGGGCCTGGCAGCTACTACAAGTAGCCACCGTAGGTGACGTCGATTACACGTGTGAGTATAATAGGCCGTCGTTTGCCGTTGCATAGCTGAGGCCTAATAATCAGTGTGGCATAAAACCATTGGCCTAGCAGTTATAAAGAGTATCCAAGGTGGGCAATCATGTGTAGAGTTGTGAGTGTGGCGTTCGCCATTAGCTTAGGCTAGTGTGCATGGTCGAGCCCTCGTCTTCATCGGTCTGTATAAATACTGGCCTGGTGTTTATAATTAGTAACAAAGATAAGCGATACCGCGTAAGTATGAGTATGACGGATTGGGATGGATTCGTTTACAGCGCATAATCAACGCTGCACAAGAACACGGACTCATAAGGTGCGATAAATAGCCGAGTTAGGTGACTTCTAGTACAGTTGTGTATGATAGGTCGTCAGATTAGGCTATCACGCATAGTTGAGGCCTTATTTTTACCGATCCGCATATCTCTTGGACTGATGTTTCCTGTAGTTAGCATAGATAAGCGGCATCGAGTATAGTTAAGGGTCGGAAAGACCGTCACTGGCCATCAGCTTATGTTACTGTGCCTATGTGCGGCCTCCTAATCAGCGTTGCACATAGACGAGGGCTTAGAAGTTACAACAAATATTCCAGATGAGTGAAAAAGGGCAGATATACGAGCACAAGGGGCCGTCGTCGGTCAGTGGAGTGGGCTGCCGTACATAGGTGGGGCCCTATAATCGGCGTCGCACATAGACACGGGCCCAGAAGTTATGACAAGTAATCGATGTGAGTGACAACGGCTACCGCCATCATGACGACAGCTTTATGGTGGCCACCACCCATAGAACGTCATATTCATAATATGAATGCGCCCGCAGCTATCTCGTGACGCTGTATTATCTACAAGCTAGTTATGCATATCTGGGAGAGGGGATCGTCCACAGGTGGTCCTCGCGCTGCCACTGCACAGTTCATGCTGTTGTCTAACTTTATTGAAGTTATTGGAATGTCAGATCCATCAGGAAAATGTGTTGTGAATAGGTTCGCTGGAAAAAAATCATCCCATTTGTTAAATCTGAGCAGTGCAAGGCAAACAAATGTCTGTGATCGATCTTCTGGATTGGAATTTTTATTAAATATTCTTAGGATGTCTTTTTAATCTTCGGGAACACCGAAGAACGCCAAAATACGCTAAAGTGCGTGTGTTTCATGTCGCGTGAACCGGTAAGAACTTGCGAATCGGTGAGGGTATGTGGCCTTGAAATTTCCCTCACTTAAACTAATTGCTACGTGAAACACCTCACTGGAAGGTGCAAATGAATTAGACTAACTCCCTGTTGAAGGCACCACTTCGAAAACCCTATAGTTTTGGCGAAATCAATTCGGGTGTGCAAATAGCTAGCGGCGCCGGTAGTGGCTCCGTAGCACTATCACGCGTCTTGCGGTGTCATCCCTATTCTGATTGGCTGAAATCTACATGGCGGAAACACTAAAAAAATGGCAACATGGAGAATTTGCGGTTTATGTGTAGTACACGGTGTCCTTCAGTTTGATTGATTCATATTTAAGCATTGGTGATGTACAGTCTTGCTTACGGGGCGTTGGCTCACGAGCTTTGTTTATGTTTTCCACCCACAGAAATTGTCGTGAACACCTGCCTTCGGAAAATCACTGTCCCCTGGTGTTTCCATAGCGTGCTTATTACATAATTGGCGACCACGCCAGGATTCTTGCCAATGATGCGTACCCGATCCCACGGAAAAACTGAAGATGAACCTGTCGCACCCGGCGGTTCATTTTTGTCCTTGTGCTACAGAATGTTACAGTCGTTTTTCTTACTTCTGTCTCCGGTTATTAGCGCCGGATTCATCCACACTCGATCTCCCCCCACTATCCCACCACCATATAAGTTCTGCATGGTGACAATTTCCGCCGCTGGGCGGCGGACACATCAGAATACATCCAGCTGCTTCCTGCCAGTGAACGAAAGCGTGTGCTGCTTGCCTTATTGGATGGAGAAGCTCGGGATATAGTACGAGGTGAACATATCTTGAAAGCTGGGGTCACGGAAGATGTCTTTGGACGGCTTCGCGCATGCTTGACAGGGCGGATCCACCCAGTCGAACATCAATATTGGTTCCAGTCACGGATCCAACTGTCGCGCGAAAGACTTTTTGTCCGAGAACTTCGGCGAATAAGTGAAGACGCTTTTCCGGAGTTAACCGACGGACAGCGGGAAGAAAAGATCCTCGAGCAGATCATTGTCGGTACCCGAGCCCCTAAACTCCGCGAGCGGTTTTTGGGTAGTCCTCCTCACTCGGGTGCAGCGGCGCTACAAGTGGCGAGCCAGGTGGAGGACATCTTGGGCGTCCTGCAGAAGGATCGGGAGCCGAACACGGCACACCTCGCCCCCGTCCACATTCAACAACAACGACAAAGCAGACGTTGGACACCAGCCCGAGGACGACCATACCATCCCATGCCATTGCGCCCTAACCGACCGTACTTTCACTCTACCTTTCAACGTCCAGCCCCAACCAACTTTTCGAAATGGCCCATCCCGAACCGTGGCTGCTCCTACTGCCAGCGCTTCACGACACACAACCGGACCTGTGGACACAATGGACCACATGAGTTCACTCAGTTCCGGTGTGTGCCGATTTGCACCTTTGATTTTTTGAGTACGCACCAGACACCCCCACCGTAGACGGACATGCCTGGGATGTAGACTACTGATTGATACTATTCACCAGCACATGCTGGTCGTTGATAACTTACCCTGGGACGTCAAACTAGGAGTAGACTTCCTGAAAAGTCAACGGGCGAGGATCGACCTCCTAGCAAGTACCATCGGGTTGGAAGGGAGCCAAATCCCCCTCGTCACGACTGCCGACTCCGCCGTCGACCGACGTAGACGTACTGCTGCCGCAACTGTCACCTACAATGAGCTCGTCGACGAAGGCAGAACTAGGAAGTGTTCTGTCGGAGTACACCGATGTTTTCGCTTGGAAGGATTATGATGTTGGTCGAACGAAACACGTACAACATTGTATCGACACTGGAGATGCTACACCCATCCGCCTACCACCACGACGTGTCCCGATTCAGTAGCAACACCAGCTAAATCGATGACATGCTGAGCAAGGACATCATCAAACCTTCCGCGTCACCATGGGCCTCGCCAGTAGTCTTGGTGAAGATACATGATGGTTCTTTACGGTTGTGTGTTGACTATCGCAAGTTAAATGACGTCACCCGAAAGGATTCTTTTCCACTACCCCGCATTGATGATACTTTCGACGCCTTAGGAGGGGCAGCCTAGTTCAGTACACTGGACTTAGCCTCTGGGTGCTGGCAAGTGGAAATACAGCCTAGTGACCGTTGCAAGACCGCTTTTGCGATCCCATCGGGTTTATATGAGTTTCAAATCACGCCGCTTGGATTGACCAACGCTTCAGCCACATTCTAGCGCCTAATGTAAACGTCTAAACTACATGCGACAATTCCGGCACTACCTTATTGGTCGCAAGTTTTTGGTCCGAACCGATCGCAAATCGCTACTGTGGTTACAAAAGTTCCGTGATCCCGAAGGCCAAATAGCACGATGGCAGGAGTACTTGCAAGAGTACGATTTCGATAGCCTGCATCGAACAGGTAAACAACACGGGAAAGCAGAAGCTTTGTTCCGCCGACCAACCAGCGATCATGGTGATTGTCCATTATGTTCCGTTTCTTGCGTCTTATCGATGTCGTTACATGCACCGGAAAGTGAGGAGTGGGCCGCAGTTCAATCCTCAGACCCCGAAGTGAAACTCCTATATGAGCGGCTATTCCACAACCAACACCGACCATCCAGTGATGAAATCGCGGGTTCGAGCTACCCGACGCCTTGTCTTTGGGCCCTTTGTTCTCAGCTGCGTGTGACGGATGGTGCCCTTTACTACCAAAAAGGTCCTACTTACTTGCGCCGTATTGTGGTACCAAGCAGCGAGGTTGAACCAGTCTTGAAGCGACTTCATGAAGAATTAGGCAATGCTGGACAGAACAAACTGGAAGAGTCAGCACGTCGCAGATTTTGGTGGACACATATGCGGCGTGATATTGCGCTATTCTGTCAATCGTGCACAGAGTATGGCCAAGTAAAGGACCGAAGACAAAGTGCCCCGGCACCACTGCAAACGATAAAGGCGGGGTTCCCAAACAAATTAGTTGGTGTGGACATCATCGGGCCGTTGCCTAGAACGGACCGAGGCAACATGTACATCCTGGTGATGATGGTCGATCATTTCACCAAGTGGTGCGAGGCTATTCTAATTCCAAAGCTGGATGCCTGGACAGTGGCCAATACGCTGTTCACCGAGTGGATCGCGCGTTGGGGTGTACCCTACCGAATACACACTGACCAACGCACCTACCAACGCTCCAACTTCGAAAGTGTCTTATTCAAAGAGTTGTGCCGCATACTGGACATAAAAAAGACTCGCACTACGGCGCACCACCCCTAGGGCAATGGCGTGGTGGAGCGCACAAATCGAACTCTGAAAGGGTTGCTGAAAGCCTTTATCAACCATGGGACATTTTAACAGTGGGATGTTGCACTACCACGTCTACTGGCTTACAGCGCTACTATCCAGGCGTCTATCGGACAGACCCCATCCTTTATGATGACAGGCCGGGAGATGCGACTACCTTACGATGCAATCCTACCTATCCCGGCTCCAGAGGCGTTGTATCCTTCAGTGTTCGTGCGAGGCATGCAGGCCGGTCTCGTTCGCAGCCATGGCCTGGCTCGACAACACTTGCGTGCCGCTCAGAGATACCAGAAAGAGTACTACGATAAAACTGCGCAAGACAGGTTGTTCAACCCTGGCGACAGCGTTTGGTTGTATGAGCCCGTTCCACCTGTTGGTATAACGTCTAAGTTCCATAGGGATTGAAAGGGACCGTATACGATAGGGCGAGCCATCACCGATGTAACCTATCGACTTGTCCACCCTGGAAAGCCTAATTGGTCAACTGTTGTGCACGTA